GTTGCTAAATGACGCGATGTCATTGCGCGGTGACGTCATTGCGTAATCACGATGCAAAATTGTGTCACTGCATCAAACCTCAGCAAAAAAAAAAGTAAATATGTTAATTTAGATGTGTTTATAAAATACGGGTAGTCTGAAAAGTTGCTAAATCTAGCAACAAAATTGCTAAATTGGCAACACTGCCCTCAGCAACACAAAACATTGGTGATTCATTCCGGAATGAATCGGCATCTTTGAACGAAACGGTTCTTTAAATGATTCAGTGACTCACTCGTAGAGTCAATTGTGTAGTTCGTGATTGAATCGGAGTTTTCGAACGAATCGGTTGAATCAATAGTTTAATGAATGAATAGCCCAGTCGCTCGTCGCCACCTACTGGCGTTAGAATGTAACCTGCAGAAGCGGAGTGATACAGTTATATCCTGAAAAAGTAATAAAACAATGGAACTTCCCAGCCGCTCAACCAATGTAATTTAGCGCTAGTGTTTAGCACTATTGGTGGATGAAAGCTTTATCAAATGAGCGTTTGAAATCGGTGTAGCTTCCTATGGGTTTCTGTGCAGGTCTGTAATGAGTGTTGTTGATAAGATAACCATGTTCTCCAATGGTTTTGACCGTGATAATACCATCATTTCTAACAGGAACGAAGCTGTTTGTTTGTAAAGGCAATTACTGGTCACATGTTGTGAGATCAACACGTTCTTGTCTGAGATTCTTGGATTCCTCAGAGGAGCAGTGATTTTCCTATTGATCACAGAACTGTGGAAAGAGCAACATTGTTTTCATGTCTTCATGCTGCTCTTCTTGGCGTCAAAGGTAGGGGTCATTTTAATTGGTTTGTATTTCTTGAGGAGATTAACTGAAAATGTTTTACTCTTTAATACACAGTTTTAGTGATCCAACTTTTCCTCAGGTTCACACAAGATGTCGACAGGTGTGCTTTATCACATTAACTACGAACACGAAATGAACTAAAATGTGTATTTTTATTAATATTTCTGAGCTAATAAGAGACTTATTTCCTCAAGGGGACCTCAAAAATGTTCCCACAAGGTCAAAATTTACTAGTATTACTATCCTTGTGGGGACATTTGGTCCCCATAACGTGATAAATACCAGGTACACACACACACACACACACACAATCTGTGCTCAATGCCTCAAACTACAGCAGCCAGTGAAAGATTTATAAGCTCTGACAAAGAAACTGAAGAGCAAAGGCAGAAGTATTATTCACAGAGACATAAACATACAACACAGTAAGCGCTTGAATTGGCTACAGAAACCAAAGATACACAAAATATATATACGATGGCTGTCAAATGAATTTACTCAGGACCTAGATTTACACTGGAGATCAAACGGTGACCCAAGACAATACCAGAAGTGACTATTATACAAACATATTTGAAAAGGTTCATTGACATTATGCAGATTTTTTTTTAATGGCAAAATTGTCAGGAGTATAGAGCTCTCTTGATATCTTAATTGAAAAAGAAAGTCTTTTTAAATTTGTTGGTCAACCAATATGGTTTTTTTGTTGAATATCTGACATCTTTGGGAGCAGGATGGCTGATATAGAGCAGATATCGAGAGTGTTTACATTCATGTTCTTAACCCAATTATGCTTGGTAAGCCGACTATGCATGAGGTCATATTAACATGTTAACCAGTTTTTCTTTATTGGAGGAAGATTATGAATGGCTTAAGCATAAACCGATCGACACAAATTTGCCAATTACACAAATTTTGCCTTGGTTTGTGAGATAAAATGACTCGTATTGTGAAATAAGATTTTTAGTTATATGTGTTCGCCATGCGTTTGCCGGCATAAAGGTTACATACAGTAAATGGTCAAAACATATATCTGGGAAAATGTATAACTAAAATATTTTGATAATACATTTAGGTTATATCCATGGGCATTTTTGTATTTTTTAAATACATGAAAAAAACATTTAAAATTTTTTGGGTCACTTTTTCACCTGTTTTAGTTTCTTGTGCGGTTTGAAATGGCTTATTTGTGCGTTTGGACTGGAATATCATGCGTGTTCAAAACAGTGCAAAAGCCATTCTATATGTTTTATTCAATGGAGGGCAACAACAAGATGCAATTTAAAAAAAAAAAAAATCGCTAAACCTGAACACATCATTGCTCTGAACTCCACCATTTGAACCATTTCCTTTTCTAGGGGCCCAAGCACCTCCGTTTCTTATTTTCTGCCCTAAAAGTGTCTGGGCGTCAGAGACCATAAATCGCAGAGACCCCAAACTTGGCTGGATGGTGCCAAAGGTGCACCACCACTCAGACACACATCCGTTTGGCACTAGGTGGCACTATAATAAGGACATTTACATGTACGTCGCTATGTGGATTATTGTGTCTCTCATTCTGACGGCACCCATTCACTGCAGAGGATCCATTGATAAGCAAATGCAATGATGAAATGCTAAATTTCTCCAAATCTGGTGAAGAAACAAACCCATCTACATCTTGAATGGCCTGAGCAATCAATTAATACATTTTTAAAATGATTCTGTTATTCTATTCTATTATTCTGTTTATTATCTTACTAAATTCAGTATATTTTTTTTATTTCTTTAATTTACTATTTTTTATTTAAAACACATATACAGTACAATACAAATATATATGAAACACAATACACTTGTATTCATTTATGATTTATTAAAAAAGCAAAATACATTTAAAAGTAATTAAAATGCACACATATGTATTTCTAAATGTTACTTTCTAAAATTGCATAACATTTTACAAGTTACTTATTAATTTATTTAAATTTGTAAAAAAAACAAAAAAAACATACACACACAAAGAATTTCTTTAAATCAAATATTAAAATTTCATTTAAAATATTTATTTAATTAACCCGTTTAATCCCACCGGTCACAATAGTGACCGTAAAAAAAAGTTTCATTTACAAAGCTCTAAAAACCTTACTGACTGATGTTTTAGTGCACTTCCTACAAATATGGAAAAAATAAAGGGTCTCAATGAAATCTGTGCAGATTCACATGATTAGTGCAAATTGTCACATGACCCAGAGCAGTTTATTTCCTGTTTGCACATTGAGAAGATGATAACTGCATCAAAGCTCCAAAACAAAAGGCTAGTAAAGTATGTTAACATAAAGATATGACAAAGATTTTTGGTGCACATTATCTTTAAGGTGTCTAGTATTAATATATGAATTCACATATATTCAGTTTTGTTGAGTGTAGTCATAGAATGAGTAAACATGTTGATGGTCACAATAGTGAGCGGTGGGATAACAGTGAACTTAGGTTTACAATATAAATCCAATTGCAGTTGCTAGTGAAAATTACACTAAAATGTTGCAATGACAAAATATTGCACTAAATAAAAAATTCAAATGTTACAAAAAATGTACAATATTGATGTTGTAATACTGGTAGCACTAATAGAAAAATTTGATGTTATATTTTACATTTCGAACTTTCCCCCCCCCCCAAAAAAAAATAAAAAAAAATTAGTATTTATTTCAAAGGGTTATGACACATCATTTGGATATTTTTATGTCTGGGCAACATTTGGGATTAAACGGGTTAACACATCTTTAACTCTGTAATGTATTATTAGCTAATTAATTAAAAAATGCACGTTTCAGACAAACAAACATTATTTTAATGAATACATGTCAAATAGCCTAATTATTTAAAAACAAATTATGCATTTATTGTTAATTGTAAAAATGCACTTTCCTAAGTAAGTCAAAAATGAATGAACTAAATAGAAATCGAGTTAATCTTTTATATTAATTTATAAATAACCTTTCTAAATAGCACTTCATACCATGCACGAGACATTAATCATAAACATTGATTTTTTTTAGTGTTGATATCGTCTGTCAAATGATGGAAACATCAAATCAAATTAGGTGAGATCATCGTAGCAAACGATTAAACGTTAATACACGGAGCTCTTCCCGTGATAATCTATCGCGCTGGAGCTCCGCCGGTGGTTGGACACCGTTCCTGCCCATAACGGCTCCGCCCAAGTTCGGTTGCCCAGCAGCGAATCTCCGAATCATACTACGGTAACGGCTGACCTTATGAATATTAATTACGTAACGGTGACGTTCGGCCAGTAAACCTGACTGGTTTCCTATTGAAAATACCTGCCTCATGAATATTAATGAACCTAGAACTTAACGTCAAGATGACCTATTTAATAATTTATTAGCTCTGCCGGTACCACAGTAGGATTCGTAATGTCGCTCCGCGGCAGCGTAATGGATGCTCAGTTGAACGCGGGGATCAAGAGTCGGTCGCATCGTAGGACTGGAAGCGGAGCTTGTGGGATTTATGAGATTCGTTGCTAAATAGTTTCTCAGACTAAAGGCGTGACAACATCCGCGCGCAGAGACCGACGCATCGCATCACATCGGTGAAACAAAGCGTTTGTTTCGCAGAGAGCACGAGAGGAATCAAAATGTCAGATGCAGCTAACGGTATCGGAGCTTACGGACGCCAATAGAGCATTGTTATTGTTTTTATGCTGACCGGCTTTCTGTTAACGGCGGACGCGGCGTTTAGGTTCATGCGTTTGATTTGAAATTTCGCAAAGAGCGAGTAAGTTGCGCGTGGACTTGGATGGATAGCAGGTGCATGATCGCATCACCTATGAACCGCAAGAGCAATGCGATTCTTATTCACGGTGCATATTAGTGTGTTAAGAAGATCTGAGGATAAATCAGAATTTATTTGATTGCATTGCTTTTTTTTTTTCTCCATTGCAATGCGATAAAGTACCAGTCGCGTGATGTTCAAATTTACTGTTGCATACTGAATCAATGCAGCCACTCGAATGCATATTTAATTCATTAAATCGTAAGTGTTTTATGTTTATTTAGATTTTTTTTTGCACATTACTAGGCTACTGTTTGATTCTAGATATGCTGTAAAAATCAACTCGCTATAATTGCTGCCTTAAATTTGGAATTAAATTCAGTGTTGCCAGTCATTCATAACCTGCAGTGATAAGTTCATTGCACTTTTTTGACCACTTCAAAGCGAATTTCTCAAAGAAGATGTGTAGAAATCTAAGTTAAATGAATGAAAACAAATTTACAATGCATGATATGTATATGTTATTGTATGATGTGGTTTCATGCTAAATATTGCATTTGTTAATTGAGTGGTTTTATTGCTAACATGGCTGTTTAAAATAGCAACAAATCTAAAAAAGCATCCCAGAAAGGAGCAGCTTCACAATTGAGGTTCTACAGTTAGATTGTGTTGTTTATTGTTAATTAAAAGCGAAACCGCAATGTTAAAAAGTTAGATTGGTCATTTGAGTGAAAGCTTTAAATCCAGAGGATGATCCTGTCTGGAGTGGCTGGACTGCTGTCAGAGCGGCTTTCACAAGATTAACAGCCCGCTGCTCTTTTCTTTGCCTGCAATCAAACCGTTTACGGGACTATTCTCCATCTCTACCTGTTTTTAAAACTTGTTTGTGCTAAATGTGACTTAAATGAAGTCCATTTGAAGTCACAAACAGTGACATGGCTTGTAAATCATGCATGCTCCTTCTATAGAGTTAGAACAGTAAGAAACCCATTGAGGAAATGGCATTGTCTTTAAAGCGAGAAGCAGCTGACTTTTTTCTGCTGCTGTAATGTGACATTGCGACATCGTTTTGTGAAACGTGCCAAACCGAGAAGCAGCTGACAAATTGTAAATATGACTTTGTGACATAAGGAGTCTTAACTTTTAGCAAAACAAGACAGATTCTGCTGCTGCCTGGAGAAATATGATATTGTGAAGGTACAAATTTAAGCGCGGCGAACTGAGAAGCAGCTGACACTTTCATTCTGCTGCTGTTGCGAAGATGAGATTGTGATACCGGGAGTTTAGTTGCGGCAAACCGAACCTGGTGCTTGCTGCAAATATGCCATTGTGACATCAGGACTCGTTCTCTGAAGCGCCAGACTGAAGAGCGGCTGACACTCTCTTTTTTGCTGCTGCTGCTGCTGATGATGCTGCAGCTGCGAAAATGCTGCGATTCCCTGTGAAGAAAATACGAAAGCAGTTCAAACTTCTGCTGCTGCTGGTGCTGCTCACTTTTGCCGTGTGGTTTACGTACCTGCACATCAACCAGGGCAAATCCATCAAACTTCACTTCAACTATGGAAAAAGTAAGCTGCGTTTGGTTTTTATATTTTAGATGATATGAAAATAATAATTTAGGATGTGAAAGGAGTTTTTTTTTTTTTTCCTGGTGTAATTTTTGAGCGTTGAGGAGAAATGAAGCTGAGGTTCAGAATGAAAGCAAGATGAATGGGAACTGCTGAATTATCAATTGCATTATTAACTTTAATTAACTAGGGCACCGGCGCTGATACTGAGTTTCAACATCAGCGTCCGGCACATTTTAATAGTTGGCAGATGCAAATTGACATTTTAGGAGTGTAACATTAGTATTATCAGCTTTTTGAATGCATTAGTATTGAATCATTTTGCACAGAAAGCTGAAATATTGCAATTTGAATTAAATTAAGTTGATATTATATTGGTTTCTTTAGAAGGTGCTAAAATTATGCAAATATGGACAACATAAGCAGACATGTTCAGATGAGCAGTATTAGAGCTTAGTCTGCTATGATGAATCTTGAGAGAAACTAGATTCTCGGCTTATGATTAAGCAGAAGTGTGTTTGCAGAAGCCATGTGCTTGTGAGAATCTTCTTTACCTCTGCAAAACACACACACACATACACACTCATGAACTCACACATTGCTCATTGTGATATTATATTGGCAGCTGTGTGGCAAGAACTTGAATTTATTTTTGTAACAAAGTGGGCAGTGAACAATTGAAAAAAAACAACAAAAAACTTTTGACTGGTATTAAAGAACATCATTTGTTTTAATGAAATGTGCATCATCAATCCCCCCCCACACACACACACAGGTGTTTTACTAAATTTACTAAAATGTACCTTTAATAAAATGACATCAGCTTCAAGTCTGTATATTAAGAGTAAAAGTGCAGTAACGTTTACTGTTGTTTGCTGAATTTTCACAGCTGCAATTCAATTATTTTAATAGAAATCCACGTGATTGTGAATTTTGCATGAGTGTGAAAGATTTCCTTGTGCTGAAAGTGTTGTTTTCACCAAAGCTTCCAAATTTACCAACATTTAATATTGAAAAAATGGCATCAGCTTCAGCTCTGCATATTAAAAGTAAAGGTGCAGTCACATTTACTGCTGTTCACTGAATTTTCACAGACACAATATTGTCATTTAATAGGAATCCAAATGATTGTGAATTTTGTGCAACAGGCCGAAAGATTTCCCCACTCGGATTTTGCATTGTGTTCTGTTGGTCATGTGAATTTGCCGCTTTGACCAACAGAAAGCTGCTTGGTTTGAAAGTCTTCAAATTTTCACCAAAGCTTCCAAATTTACCAAAATATTAGATTAAAAAAATGACATCCTCTTCAGATCTGCGTATTAACAATAAAGTCACGGTACGTTTACCATTGTTAACTGAAAGAATGTCTGTATATTAAGAATGACGATGTAGTCACGTTTACCATTGTTTTAGATTAGAAATCCTGGACTCTTTTTGCATGTTTGTGAAAGATTTTCCCACAGATTTTGCATCGGGTTCTGTTGGTCTTGTAAATTTGCCGTGTTGACCAACTGAAAGCTGTTTGGTTTGAAAGTCTTCGAGTTTTCACCAAAGCTTCCAAATATACCAACATTTTTACATAAAAATGACATCAGCTTATGAATAAAGGTACACTACATTTACCATTGTTCACTGAATTTGCAGCAGCCAAAATTCAGAAATTTCAATAGGAATCCATGCGATTGGAAATGTAATCTGAGGCAATTTCATATGGTGGTGGATGAGGAGATACCCTCTCACATTAGCTATGTTTCCATCCACCTATTTTTATGCGCATTTTGGATTATTGCATAAAAAAACGCTGGATGGAAATGCTAAGATGCGCATAAATTCTAATTCGTTCTGAAATGCCTGAGGAAAGTCTGTCATCAAAGTATTTCTGTATAATTACTGTCTTACACGACTGCGTTCCCAAACAACAGCATCCACCTCCGAAAGCAATGATCGCATTTATTGTGTTATGTCTGCTCGCTCTGAAGCGCAAGTACTTTATTACATTTGAAAATTATTATATTCAGTGGCTTCTCCTAGTTTTCTTAGAGATATTTAGTGCCAGTTTATCAGGAAGTGACGATTTTGTTCTCTTTGACTCGTTGGATGGAAACGGTGCTTTATTAGTAAATGTTTTATGCGATATTCCAGTTTTGCGTTAAATTCGCATCTTTGGATGGAAACATAGCTATTGTAAAGCGCTTTGAGTGTCTAGAAAAACGCTATATGAATGCAACAAATTATTATTATTATAAAACATTTCCCCATGCAGATTTCGCATAAATTCTGTTGGTCTTGTAAATTTGCCGTGTTGACCAACTGAAAGCTGCTTGATTTGAAAGCGTTCAAGTTTTCACCAAAGCTTCCAAATGTACCAAAATTTTACATAAAAAAAATAACATCAGCTACAGGTCTATATATTAAAGAATAGGCCTAAACAGATGGTACATTTACCATTGTTCACTGTATTTGCTGCAGCCAAAATTCAGTAATTCAATTGGAATCCATGTGATTGTGGTAATTTCGCTTGAGGGTGAAACATTTCCCAAAGCAGATTTTGCTCAAGTTTCAGTTGCTCACATGAATTTGGTGTGTTGACCAACAGATAGCTTCTTGGTTTGACTTCTGTGTGAGTTGTGCTTTATACATTGCTACACTATTGACAATATACAATAGGCTTTTTCAGTGAAATTTGAGTAATTTGACAGCACCTTAAAGCTTATATTAAAAGCACTAGTCTGCTAACACCGTGCGCTAGACCTCTAGAGCCCATCTGACAACTTTTTTGTGTCCGACACTCTAGAAGAGGATCTCCTTTCTCATTAACAGCTGCTAAAAGCTCTGTGTGGTTTGGCATCTCTCCCTTGCTGCCCCAAACTGACCTCAATCGTAACCCAGGAACTTCAGCCTCTGTCTAGCCGCTCCAGTCTTTGAGTGGGCCACCAAATCACTCCTCTTGCGAAAGAGAAGAGCACTGGAATCACTCAAGTGCGAAAAGGCAGTGCAAATCCTGCATTAGCACAAAGAAGAAGATGTCTGGAAAATAACGTGGCACCGCACCAAGCCATCTACGGCGAAATTAAAAAGTCTGTGGGGCTCGCCGAGTGACGTTACTGACATTTTAATAAGAGTTGTTGGCTGTGCGTGTTTGCACAAATAGGCTGATTTATTTTCGCCCGAGGACTCACAGTGGTCACCTTATTCCCAGTTACAGGCTCCGTAGGGCTGGGTCAAGATGTAGCCGTGCACCAGCTGTGATAGGTTGCTGTGAACAAGGGTCTTTTTAAGCAACCAAGTGTGAAGGAATGTGTTGAAGTAGCAGGCGGGTCATTCCTGTTATGCAGTACCTTTTGAACTCTGCAAGTTTTTAAAAATGAATGTGCTTGGGTTGTAATTTGTAGAGGTATTGCTATGAAAGCATATATTATACTTGCAAATATATGCTCTGGTCAAGCTCAGGCACTTAAACGTCATTAATTATAACCTATTTGCATGATGGCAAGGAAATTAACAGAATGGAAATTAAAAGCTAAAGTTAGCCATTGCTCAGTGTGGGATTTTGAGTTGGCTTGCATGAGGTCAGGAGGTTAATTACGATATATTTTTAAGCATCTTTTATAACACAAATTTCTGTTGTTGCATCTAACATTATGTATTTTTTTAAATTAAGCTAAATTATATTTTCTAATTTCATTTTTTTTTTTTTATTAATGCTCAAACAGCGATTACAAAAACAACATTTCTAAGGGATTATATACAAATAAAAACCAACAATAGATCAGTTCTACATAATAAACACTCACACACCCACACATCAAATTGAGAATAGTTAGAAAACAAAAGAATGGCATAAAGATGGGATAAAAGCCAAAAGAATCTAAAAGTTGTACAAAAAACATAACCTTAACATAAATTGCAAATGAATTTACAGTGACACAGATACTATAATTGAATTCATACAATAATATAGACATTGGTACATTAGGAAAGCATCTAAATGCATGCATTTTCTTTAAATATTTCTCTAAAATATTTAAGGAATCTTAGGGTTTTTTAATTCTTCATAAGGTAAAGAGACTTCAGAAGTTTAATTAAGTAATAAAAAGTGAATAACTATTTAAAATTTTTACTTATGAAAAAAAAACAATCTATCAATAAATAAATGTAGTATAATATTGGCAGAATCAAATATATAAGACTATTTTCTTATTTCTGTGCTGCTGTTTTCCCGCCAAAAATGGTCACTTCCTGGGTGATGATGTCATTAAAGAAACTGTGTTTAACTTAAAGGGATATTACAAAAGACAAAACGTTTTCAAAGTGAAATTGAGGATAAAGAAACAACATTTGATGACCAATTCAAACAATATTTCTGAGAAAACATGGTTTAAATGTTTGGTTTTAAATATTTCAATCAGAGGAAGAAAAAAAAATGAAGAAACCAGTAGGCTATTTCACAATAAATTGCATTTTTAGAAGCCCTGTGACACATGGGCAACCCCCTGAAACTAAAATAATAAATTTATTTATTTAAATTTACTCCTGTTTTAAATTAATGGGTGTAATTTTTGCTTAACTAAAGATACCAGAACACACCCCAATCTGCCATTGGTCGAAAAAAAACCCAATAACAACAACTTGCCATTGGTTGATTCAGTGTTGCTGAGTCAGGCTGGTCAGGAATCTCAAACAAACAGAGCAATGTTTTGATAGCACCATAGTGTTAATGCTGTTTAGGGAAATCAGCCTACCTAATGGCTTACTTAAAGCTGTCTTAGTATGTATATTAAAGTGTTTTAACATAAAACATACTGTAGCTTTAATGGTAATAAAAATAAAACATTTAGAGTTTAGGAACATGAAGAACTGAATAGTGGAAATGGCCAAAGTACAGTGTTTGTTAATACAAAGGAAGTCTTTTTAAAATGAGTGTTTTGCTTTAGGTTGCTATGTTTAGAAATCCAAGGGAACTGATCCCGGTTTGGCATCGGTGTTCAACCTCTAACCGG